CATATATATATGTGTGTTTTTGTGTGTATCTGATAACTCTTATTTTTAAAAGTTATTTCATATTTATTTCCTTCCTTTTTGCTATTATTAAATACCCAATTTTCTTGTTTTTATCCTTTTACTCCAAAAAGTTTTAAAAAGATGATGAAACACAAAGGAAGAAGTATTATTCCAAAAACCTGTATTTTTCTGACAGTACTGCCCACTATGGCACCACTGTGGAAAGTCTACCAGCCTTGTTATAGCTTCTTGGAAAACATGCAGCTTAAAGATTCCTCCAGATATTTTCCCCAGCTGTTTATGAGCAGTCTTCCTTCTTTTATTTTATTTTCTTTTGTATTTTCTTAACCTTGTACTAATTACCCTTGGGTAATGATTGGGTGTCCTTGCTCCCATTCCTCTCCCCTATATAAATAGGCTTGGGGGAGCCATTTTGAGGTGTGCCCAACACAATTTTGAAGACACAATACTCACTAGTGTGTCTCTCTTCTCTTTTCTTTTATTATTATGTTTTTTAATTAATGTCTTTAATTTATGTCTTTAAATTAAGTCTTTAATTTATGTCTTTAATTTCTAGTATTTTACTTCCTTATACTTGTAATTTAGTTTTACATTAATGCAATTTATATTTCATTATTATTTTATGTCTTTAATTACTTTCATTATGTCTAGTTAAATTACTTGTATGGGTGTGGGTGTGAGTTTAACTTAGGATGTTTATATAATATTTGGGTGTTTTTATCTTTTATCACTTCGTAACTTGGTCACGTAAGACGGTGCTTAAAATGCGGATAAGCTTATCACTTTGAAGTGTTAATATTAGATCTTTAGACCCAAAGATGGGCGGATCTGAAATACTGCTTAAGTAATGCATAATGAACTAAAGTGGGTATTTGAATAATTACGTGGAGACGCGAATTTTGTATGCATCTAGCTAGGGGTTAAGCAATAAGTATTTTTATCACAAAGAGATTTGGGTAAAAATTGCATTCCTTTTACTTTTTAGCTAGATCGGCAAGTTTCGAAGTGGTAAACGTAAAAATCTTATGGAATTTTATGAAGCCCGGTTATAAAAGTTCACTTTCGAGAGATCGGAGCTTTTATAAACAACTCGTAAAAGTCTAACCATTTTATTGTTAATTTTATCTTAAGCAACACTTGCACCCATGCCCATCATTTAATATTAGAAGTTTATTTCGTTAGTTAGCTAGTCGGTCCTATTTGGGTCTTTTTATAAACAAAAATCCAACTTTATTTTACATCTCGAAACTCGTGCAAGAAGTTCATGAAAAGTCTCTAAATCTCTACCTTCTCTGTGGGAACGATCTCGGTACTTTGTACCACTTTATTACTTGCAAGCGATCATAGTGTCGGCGTGCTTTTGCACCGCCACTGTGGGGTCATTCTGCCCACTAAGTGAACACGAACGATCCCGATCCTGTCAGTATCCATGTGTGTTTTTACTGGAATTAAATTGTATATATATTTATATATGTGTGTGTGTGTATATATATGTATATACATATATATATATATATATATATATATATAAAGAGAGAGGGGAGAGAAATAATCAGATTCAAATGAGAACAATAAACAAATAACATAATAAGAAAACAATCGAATCATATCACAGATTTAAATCGTCATTTTTTTTGTTACTCTTGCTCGTCCATAGCTCAAATCGGATATGGGGTTGCTCCCTCGGCAAAACTAGGATAAAGTTGAGCCAAAAGATCCCGATTCAAGATAAAAAAAAATTACGTGTAAATTCACATGTAATTCACATGTCTGAGTGTCATGAGCCACTTTGCCTGCACACCCTTACATTAACCGTTGATTTAACCTTTTTCGTATTATATTATATGGTTATTGTTTTGATGGAACCTCGTTATATATACACATGATTTTTACTATATTTCAGTAATATTGAATAACTTAAATTTAAGTTAAAAAGAAAAATAATATTGATGTAGATATGAGAGAGAGAGAGAGCAATAATTGATAAACAATCAAACTTTCTTATTGAACTTATATCAGATTAAAAGACAAAATTTGAATAAGAGGTGGACAATACGAACCATAAATTAGAAGATGTATCATCCATCCACTTGTAATGAGAGTGCAGTTTGAAGTTCGAACACTACAAGTTCAATTTGTATGTGACAGCTTGTTAGGCTTGTAGTTGAACATCCCCGACAAGACAAAAGATAGGGTTAAAAAACTTGTAGATCACAAGTTCACAACTTGCTCCTGTTGAGACGAGAAGTCACACATATCTACCACCATCTTGTTACACGTTGTTAAGATCATCTAGTTGGAATGAAAAAGGCCATTCCAGGGATTTTAGAGGAAAAAAAGAAAAAAAAAACTGAACTTGGTGGAGACAGACTGGAAGGAGAAGAGAATGGCATTTATTATCGAGTGTGAGGAGAAAAGAAGATTATTGGATGTCGGATGTGAGGAGAAAAGAAGTTCATTGGATGTCCACGTTACGAAGTCAAAGGAGAATAACTGATGAGTTTTAGGAGAAAAGAAGGTTATTTGATGCCCACTTTCAAATGTGCATACAACAAAATGTCCAAGCATAATGACATACATGTTGTAAGCTCGGGGATAAGGAAAAGTAGCAGTGGCTTGATGCCTTGTTTCACCGACTTGATGGCATAAAGGTAATTAATATACATACACAAACGCACACACACATATAGATATATACTTTTACTTACATATATAAACACCTACATACTTGACATATTATGTTTTCTAACTTGTTAATAAGCCTAAAAAACAGTACCTATTTCTAAGCAATTGGTCGCTTTACCTTCCACACAACTAGTATCCGCTAAGATTTCACAAAAGGGAACACGAAAAAAAAATTCCAAAGAAACTACTTGTGCCAGACAATAGTGCGATCTTAGAGAAATATTTGGGTCAGAGACCAAAAGCGTTACAAGCACTTTATAGGCGTTGAGAGTCCCACTTAGATCAGAAACAAGGGATTGCAGTGCATGTCGCTCCCAGGGTCTTTGGAGCTCAATCATTTGACTTCACCATTTTTCGTGATGACATTCATTTTTAGTGAAGAATGCTTGGGGTGGATCATTCTACTATTGCCTGGTACAAAATGTAAGTCAATGGTAACTACATTCTAATATTCAATCTTACATCCCAAAAATATTCTACTTTATCACATCGTCGTATTTTTTGGTTATCAAATGAGATTATGCAAACAAATACAAACAACAAACGTGGTTTCATATATCCAACCTCGATTTATGCTAACTTATGCTAAAGAAACGATGTCATAAGTAACATTATTAATGCAATCTCCCACAATAAACAGAGGTACCATGTGCTACAATCTTTATTGTTATATAACTTAGAATATATATGTTATGTTTACAAGTCTTTCGAAAAAAATTGTAGCTACTTTTGTAATATATCAATTTGTACATAATTTGGGACCAATATGTATATTTTTATTTTATGTTATATGAAATATATAGGTTATATGTAAATGTGAAATGGGGTGTTACAATTAAGCCCTTCGGGACCAACATCTAATACATTTATCCCCCCCCCCACACACACACACACATATAGGGAAGATTTCAAACGAGAATACCTTCATTTTACGAAAATACGGGACACCCTTGTACTGTAGTCAATCACATTTGATACTATAGTCTATCACATATGGTACACATGTAATACTAAATCGGATATATGGATGATCTTTGGTGCGACCTAGGTTACAGGCCAAGTTTCCCTCACACCATTAGTCCCCTCACATGTATTATCATATATGATAAGGGTGTTCTCGATGTGACTGTAATCCATACCAAATCAATGACCCAAACGACCATTGGCACATCTAAGGTCACATGCTAAGTCGTCCGCAACCACGGGGTGCCCTCAAGTGTATCATTACATGTGATAAGAATGTTCTCGTGTTTTCGTAAAATGGAGGTATTTGTTTTCGAACCTCAACATATATATATATATATATATATATATATATTATCATGGGAGGTTCAAACAAGAAGAAGGTCCATATAAGAAAACCCATATATATATATATATATATATATATTATCACGGGAGGTTCAAATGAAAAGAAGGTTCATATAAGAAAACCCAAAAACACTTATATCACGTGTAAGTTTACACTGAAATCATATGTAATATATGTGTTCTCGTATTTTCTTTTTTGACTTTGTTGTCATGTGAACCCACCTTATGTATAGTGAGTTCAAAAGAGAACTTCATTTTACGAGAACACTATATCATATGTGACACTAAATCAGAGACACGGACAACCTTTGATTCTACCTAGATCACAGGTCTTAACTTCTATTCTTACCGAAAATAAACCATATATACATGTGGTTTTGTGTGTGTCCATGTGGGTTTTTACTGGAATTCAATTGTATATATATATATATATAGAGAGAGAGAGAGAGAGAGAGAGAGAGAGAGAGAGATAGTCAGATTCAAATGAGAACAATAAACAAATAACATAATAAGAAAACAATCGAATCATATTACATGTGTTTTTACATTAAAATCACGTGTAAATTCACACGTCTGAGGGTCGTGAGCCATTTTGCCTGCACACCCTTACATTGACCGTTGATTTAACCTTTTTCATATTATCTTATTTGATTGATTATTGTTTTGATCGAACCGCGTTACATATACGCATGATTTTTACTATATTTCAATAACAATGAATAACTTAAATTTAAGTTAAAAAGAAAAATAATATTGATGTAGATATGAGAGAGAGCAATAATTGATAAACAACAATCAAACTTTCTTACTCAACTTGTATTAGATTAAAAGACAAAATTTGAATAAGAGGAGGAGAATACGAATCTTAAATTAGAATATGTTTCATCCATCCATTTGTACTGAGAGTCAACTTTGAAGTTCCAACACGACAAGTTCAATCATGGACATATATTATCCATTCATTTCAAATATATTTACTTGATCTCCAAATTCAACCAATGTCGTCAAAATTGAATTTTCCACTCATAGTTGTTCTGAGGTTGGGCTGCTGCCACCACCAAGTGACCATCTTATAACAAGAACACAATCAACGTTTGCATCCTACGTGATTCATGGAGATGACAATAGTAATTGGCCTTGCACTTGCAGTCCTCGTCTTCTTTCTCTTCAAGTTCCTTACACCTTCCAAAACCAAGAAAAACCTCCTTCCTCAACCATGGAGGATCCCCATCCTTGGCCATATGCATCATTTGATAGGTATCATTATGTCTGCTTAACTGTTATGATTATGATTAGTTTATGTTACAAATTGACTGTTTTTTGATACAACAGGTACAATACCGCATCGTGGTGTTACGGAGTTGGCACGAAAATATGGACCGCTAATGCATCTGCAACTTGGGGAAGTGTCCACAATCGTGGTCTCATCCCCGCGTTGGGCTAAAGAGATCTTAACAACATACGATATCACCTTTGCCGACCGGCCTGAAACCTTAACAGGCGAGATTGTTGCGTACCACAATACCGACATTGTCTTTTCTCCCTATGGCGAACATTGGAGGCACCTCCGAAAGATTTGCACTTTGGAGCTTTTAAACACAAAGAAAGTGAAATCTTTTCAATCGCTTCGTGAGGAAGAATGTTGGAGCCTCGTTAACGAGATAAAAGCATCGGGTTCGGGGAAACCCATCGATCTTTCCAAGTGCATTTCGATTTTGATTGCTAGGATAGTAAGTCGAGCAACATTTGGGAAAGGGATTAAGGATGAGGTAGGGTTTAGAGAAATAGTGAGGGAGACGGTGCAGCTAACAGGAGGGTTTGATATTGCCGACATTTTTCCTTCAAAAAAGGTTCTTCATCACCTTTCGGGCAAGAGGGCAAAGTTGACTAAGATTCACAATAAGCTGGCCACTCTGATCAACAACATCATTTCCGACCACCCTGGAAGCCAATTGAGTTCATCGCAAGAATCCCTTCTAGATGTTCTGTTAAGGCACAAAGATGACGCCGAGTTCCCATTAACATCAGATACTGTTAAAGCTGTCATTTTTGTAAGTTCTCGTTCACATACATCTTATCTTTAATTCTTTGCACAGAGATGAAATCAAAACCAAAACCAAGTCCTATAGAGTAGTCTATTACAACCTTGAGACATCTTCGATCGTCCTAAAATAAAACTGATTTTGTCGTAGTATGTGTTGGAATCAAGAATTTCACACAAACAAAGTATTGTTATTCACTGAATAATTTGAATCACATAAAAACAGAGTACGTACAAATGATTATATACAGGATCAAGGGACACATCTCTTGACCGACAGACACAACCCTTCGAACAGATGTCAGTTAATTAACTGTCACATAATCCCAGAAATAACTAACGTAACGGTTAACCGAAATACAGACCAACTATAATAACCACCAGATTCTAGCTTATCATTTAACACACCCCCATAAGCTAGAATAATTTAACACCTAATTTTTCTTTCATGAGAATAAAGAGTCCAACTTGAAGGGCTTTTGTGAAGCAATCGGCTAGTTGATCTTTAGAGACACAAAAGTCGATCTTTACTTCTCCGTTTGCTACCAATTCACGAATGAAGTGGAACTTAATCCTTATGTGCTTACTCTTTCCATGGAACACAGGGTTCTTAGTGAGTGCAATAGCCAACTTATTGTCACAAAAGATTGATGTAGGTTCTTCTTGCTCATGTTCTAGTTCCTTTAGGATGGATCTAAGCCATAAAGCTTGACACCCAGCAACAGATAATGACATGTATTCTGCTTCTGTCGAAGATAAGGCCACAACTTTCTGCTTTTTGGTTTGCCAAGAGATTGCTCCATTTCCCAAGTGAAAGATGTATCCACCAGTACTCTTTCCATCATCCATACTTCCACCATAATCACTGTCGCTATACCCAGTGAGTTGGAAGTTTTTTGTCCTTGTGTATGTAGTACCATGACTTATAGTGCCTTTGATATACCTGAGTATTCTCTTTCCTGCTTCCTAATGGCTCCTCTTTGGAGTTTCCATATATCTACTGATTATGCTCACAGAAAAAACTATATCTGGTCTGCTGGCAGTCAAGTACATTAGACTGCCCACATTGCTTCTATACATGCTTGCATCAATGAATACTTCTCTTATATCCTTATGTAATTTAAGTCTAAATTCCTTAGGAGTAAGTGAAGGATTAGCATGATTCATGTTGAATTTATCCAATAAAGTCTGAGCATACCTTTGTTGTGAAATCTTGATCCCTTCCATGTCTTGCTTTACTTCGATTCCCAAGAAATAATGTAGCAACCCCATGTCGGTCATTTCAAATTCTTGCTTCATATTTCCTTTGAATTCTTGTATTAACCTTTGGGAATTTCCAGTAAATACTAGATCATCTCCATAAATACACACTATGAGAATCATACCTTTGATCTTTTGGGTAAATACTACAGCACTTGTTGAACCCTTGTGTAATGAAGTAGTGTTCAATACGGTTGTACCATGCCCTTGGGGCCTGCTTTAACCCGTACAAGGCTTTCTTTAAATGGCATACTTTATATTCTTCTCCTTTCTTCACAAATCCTTCTGGTTGATCAATATAGACTTCTTCTTCTAAAAACCCATTCAAGAAGGCAGATTTTACATCCATTTGATGTACTTCCCACTTATTTTGTGCAGCTAAGGCTAATACCAATCTGACTGTTTCCAATCTTATCAGTTATCACAGGTGCAAAAACTTCTTGGTAGTCTATTCCATGCTTTTGCTTGTATCCTTTGACTACCAATCTTGCTTTGTACCTATCCACTTCTCCTTTTTCATTTAATTTAGTCTTGAAAATCCATTTAACTCCAATGGATTTGTGTCCAGGTGGCAGACTTACTAGTTCCCAAGTGTTATTTTTTTCTGATGGCTTCTATTTCTTGATTCATGGCCTCTCTCCACTTAGCATTTTGAAAAGCTTCCTAAAGGTTACTGGATCAGCATCAGAAAATAATACAAAGTCTGCTGTCTCAGTTAAATCCAGACTCCTTGGATCATTATAAATGTGTCTCAAATTTCTATATCCCCTTATAGGAGGACTTTCAGTGGAGTCTTCATATAGTTCTGAGTTTACTGTGTTTTGAGGTGTACTAGATGTAGCTAGACTTTGAGGCTCATGATCAGGTTGTCCAGATTTTGTATTTGTCTGAATCTGTTCTTCTTCTTCCAGAATTCTTGTACTATTTTCACCTAACATTGGTGAACCATTCCATGCTTTCCCTTCTTCAAAAACAACATCTCTACTGATGATGGTCTTTTGAGTAAGAGGATTGTAAAGCTTGTAAGCCTTGGATTTTTCACTATAACCTAGAAAAATGGTTTTCTCGGATTTGTCATCTAGTTTGGACCTTTTTTGTTCAGGTATATGAGCATAAGCAATGCATCCAAAAGTCCTAAGATGTCCTACTGTAGGTTTATGTCCACTCCAGGCTTCTTGAGGTGTGATGTTAGATAGACCCTTGGTAGTTGTTCTATTAAGCAAGTAACATGCACATGATATAGCTTCTGCCCAAAAAGAGTGATCCAGACCCTTGGTTTTAAGCATACTTCTTGCCTTTTCCATTAGGGTCCTATTGATTCTCTCTGCCACCCCATTTTGCTGAGGGGTGTATCTTGTAGTTACTTGATGTTGTATACCATTTTCTTTCAAGAAACTTGTGAAATAGGCATAGTTGTATACTCCACCCCCATCTGATCTAAAAGTCTTTATCAGATTTCCACTCTGCTTTCAACATAAGCCTTGAAGTTTTTGAAGTGATAAAAAACCTCAGACTTTTCTTTTAAAAAATTATACCCATATTTTTCTCGAAAAATCATCAATGAAGGTTAAAACATACCTGTTTCCTCCTAAGGATGGTGTTTTCATGCATAGTTCAAGTGGTTTTGAGGCTCTCCATACACCTTGAGGAAATGGTTCCCTTGCTTGCTTTCCAGTCATGCAGTTTTCACAAATCTCATCAACCTTATTTATGGGAGGCATTCCTTTAAACAATTTGTGCCTTTGCATAAAACTCAGATATCCAAGATTTGTATGCCTGAATCTGTGGTGCCATAGGAGATAATTCTGTTTTATTGATGTGTGAAAGGAGAACAAGGTGTCCCCTTTGAAGTTTATGGGAAACATCTTGTTTCCAGTCATGATAATCTTTCCTATAGGACCACCAGTTTGATCACTAATAACACATGACTTACCTTTGAAATGTTCATAATACTTGGTAGAAGTTGTCCTATACTTAGTAGTATTGCTTCAACCCAGGAACATAGTAGACATTTTGTATTCTTTTTTACCACCTTTTGTGTAGACCAAAATGTCACCTATGCCCTGTACACTCAACCTCTTATCATCCCCGGTCCTAACTTCCTTCCTTTGTGTGTCATCAAATCATGCAAAGAGACTTTTATTTCCAGTCATGTGATTGATGCACCCACTGTTCAAGTACCAAGTGTCATCAGTGGGTAATTCGAGTGTATTTAGGATCATAAACATGGTGTCTTCATTATCTTCAATGTTGATGAAGTTGTTTTCCCTCTCTTCTACAATTCTCTTTCTACAAAACTTGGCTATGTGGCCAAGTTTTTGACAGTGATAGCACTGCATAGTTGATGGCTTTCCTCTACCCTTTCCATTGAAATTAATCTGTGTTTCTCTTTGTTGGAATATGTTTTTCTCCTGGAAATTTGGATTGAATTTGCTGATTGTAGTTGAAATGCTTGTTCATAGGGATTGTTGTCAAACTGTTTCATTCTCATCTCGTGAGATTGTAATATTCCTAGAAGTCTTTCCAAGGACATAATTGATATATCCTTTGATTCTACAATTGCCACTACTACATATTCGAATTTCCTTGTCAAGCTTCTTAAAATCTTTTCCACAACCCTTCTATCCTCTATGATTTCCCCATTCAGACGTAGTTGGTTCAATACTAGAATCGTTCTATTGTAGAAATCTTCTATGGTTTCTGATTCTTTCATCTTCAGGCCATCAAACTCACATCTTAGAGTTTGGAGTCTTAYTGTCTTGACTTTTTCTTCARCCTTGWATGTTCTTTGTAACATATCCCAGGCTTCTTTTGATGTTTCTGATGTCGAAATCCTCTCAAAAACTGTTTCATCCACGGCTTGATACATCATGTACAGTGCCTTCTGACAAAATCGATAATCAAAGAAGGGTTTTTCATTCATTCATTCATACTTGCAAATCAGAATACACGGAGGCTATATATAATAGCAAAAGAGATAAACAAGGAAACAAAAAAACCACAAAGATGGAAGATAAGAGATGTGCACAATCAACCACAAAGATAGGAGATATGCACGGAAGGGAAAAAGGAAAGTAATCTAATCCTAATCCTCTAATCCCAATACTCCCCCTCAAGTTGGAGCGTGTAAGTTTCGAGCGCCCAACTTGCCGAGGAGAAACTGTAATTGTTGCGTCCCTAAGCCTTTGGTGAGAAGATCAACAATTTGTAGTTTAGTGTCAACAAAACGTGGAACAATTTCTTTGGTGTCAACTCGCTCACGAACAAAAAAACAATCCATCTCCACATGTTTTGTCCGTTCGTGGAAAACAGGATTGGTAGCTATATGACGAGCAGCTTGGTTATCGTAGAAAAGAGGAGTAGGTCCAATAATATTTTTATCCAACTCTTTCAGCAGCCATCTAACCCATAAAACTTCACTAACTGTTGACGCCATGGATCGGTATTCAGCTTCAGCTGAAGAATGGGAAACCACAGATTGCTTCTTTGTTTTCCAAGAGATAGGTGCACCTCCAAATAATAGCACGTAACCTGTTCTAGATCGTCGAGTAAGAGGACACCCTAACCAATCAGAGTCACAATATGCCAAGAGATCACCACCACCTTCTCGTGGAAGAAGGACTCCTTGACCTCGAGTGGCTTTTAGGTACCGAAGCACTCGGACAACTGCATTCATATGAGATTGTCGCGGATCTGTGACAAATTGACTTAAAAGATTTACCGCATAGGCTACGTCTGGTCTGGTTGCCTGCATATAGAGTAATCTCCCAACTATTCTTCGATATTGACTAGCATCAACCTTCGGCTCCTTTTCAGCCTTGTCTAGTTTAAGATTTTGTTCAATGGGAAATGAACTAGGCCGACACCCTTGCATACCACAATCATCAAGTATATCAAGGATGTACTTCCGTTGACTCAACACTAAGCCTTCTGGGACACGAGTAACCTCTATCCCAAGGAAATATTTGAGATTTCCAAGGTCTTTGATGCTGAATCGTTTGTTAAGTTCTTCTTTCATTTCTTGTATTTTGTTGGTGTCATTCCCCACGATGATGACATCATCAACGTAAATGAGAGCTGCTATAAAGACATTTTCCTGTCGTAATATGAACAGCGAATGATCTGCCTTTGACTGTTTAAACTGTAGCTCGAGAAGGGCATTGGTAAATTTTTTATACCAATTTCGAGAAGCTTGTTTCAAGCCATACAATGACTTTCTGAGCCTACATACTTTTGTTTCTCCTTCTTTAGCAAATCCTTGAGGGATCTTCATATACAGTTCTTCGTTTAAGTCACCATGCAAGAAAGCATTATTGACGTCTAGTTGTTGTATGGACCAATTTCTTTTGACAGCGACTGCAAGCAAAGTGCGTGCAGTGACAAGTTTAGCAACTGGAGCGAAGGTATCATGATAATCCACGCCCTCCAGTTGCATGAAACCTTTGGCAACCAGACGTGCTTTGAACCTCTCTACTTCTCCATTTGGTTTGTATTTTATTTTGTATACCCATTTGAATTGATAGCGCGTTTGCCTTCTGGTAAGTCTTCAATGGTCCAGGTATCGTTTTCTTCAAGTGCCTTAACCTCTCTTTTCATGGCGTCTTTCCATTTCTCATCTTTGATTGCTTGATGGAAATATTTTGGCTCATTGATAGAATCGATGGCAGCTAAGAAAACTTTGTGAGAGTTAGAGAAATTATTATAAGAAACATAGTTTGTTAAGGGGTATACCGTGGAAGAGCTTTGAGTTGGCGGGGAGCGCGTAGGGTCGACCGAATGAGGCAGCTGAACGATATAATCTTGCAAGTGACGTGGTTGTATTCTGGTTCGTTGAGGTCGTGAGTATTCAGCGGTTTGATCGTTGTCGTTGTGACTGATGGGGCTATGCTCAGTTTCCACTTCATGCATGTGTTGAGCCTCGTTGTCATGCAAAAAATCAGAATCATCACTTGACGGAGTATGTTGATTTTCGACTGAGTCTAACCCACGTTCCTCATCATTGGGAACCTCATAAGGCACGGTTTCATCAAAACAATCACCTCGACTTGCCTCGCTTTCAGTTTCGGTGAAAGGGAATTTTGTTTCATGAAATCTCACGTCTCTAGATACCGATTCTTCTCTTCTCAATGTCATATATTTTATAACCCTTTGTACCGGTTGGATATTCCAAGAAAATTCCCGGTCTCCCTCTCATTTCAAACTTGTCACCTTTGGTTTCTGTGTTTCTGTAGTAAGCTAGACAACCGAAAACCTTCATGAAGTCGTAGCCGGGCTTTTGACCAAAAACGATTTCATATAGGGTTATGTTGTCAATCACACGAGATGGCAATCGATTAATGATATAGGTGGCAGTCAAGACACATTCACCCCAAAAGCGGTTAGGAAGTTTTGCTTGAAACCTTAAGGCTTGTGCCGTCTCAATGAGGTGTCGATGCTTCCGCTCATCGACTCCGTTCTGTTGAGGCGTGTGTGGACAGGAGGTCTCAAGTTTGATCCCCTCTTCATTATAGAAGTTCAGCATGTCGTTCAAGGTAAACTCGCCGCCATTGTCGCACCTGATCTTCTTAATGTTTTTGTCAAATTGATTTTTTATCATTTTCTGGAAATTCATCAGTAGTTTGCTAGCTTCTTGTTTAAACTTCAACAAAAAAACCCAAACAGCTCTACTGAAATCGTCAACTATAGTCAAAAAATAACCAGCTCCTGATAAAGGATTACGGTATTTACCCCAAATGTCACAATGCAATAACTCAAAACAACCACTAGTTTTAATTTCACTGTTTGAAAAGGGAAGCCTTGTGTGCTTGGCTTTAGAACAAGAATCACATTGTTCATTAAAAGAAAAACTACCAASAGACTYGATTTTGGCAAKCTTTTCGTTTGAAGCGTGACCTAGCCTTTTGTGCCAAATGTCACCCGTCGTCATCATCGCCTTTCTAGACTTCTCAAGGACTCCCATTCGGTACAGACCCCTCTTGCATTCACCCGCACCAATCAAGCTCTTCGTGTACAACTTCTGCATAACACAAAAGTCAGGAAAGAAGGTTACTGCGCATTGAAGATCTTTACATATTCGACTTACTGACAGGAGATTGCAAGTGAATTTAGGTATGTGAAGGACACCATTGAGTTTAGTACCACCAGGCAAAGAACAACTTCCTTTTCCCTCAACTGGGATAGCATCACCATTAGGGATAAGAACAGGATTTTCAAAATGAGCTTTGGTTATGTTTTCAAGAATGCCATCGTTCGTGGGTGATGTGCTCGGTTGATCCCGAGTCCACAGACCAATCGTTGTTAACATCCCTTTTACCTGTCATGTAAGCTGTCGGCTTAATCCCGTCCTTATTTGTACCTTCCTTATCTTCAAAGTGCTTCAAAAAGGTCCTGTATTGGTCGGCGCTCAGGCCTGGAACGGGACTCAATTCCGCGTCAACACAGGCAGCTTTTGGCTTCGATTCCGTTTGCTTTTTGTTTCCCGACCACCACTCGGGATATCCTATCCTTTTGAAACAACCCTCTTTGGAGTGACCGTCCTTTCCACAGAAAGTACAGTTTTGAACGATCTCTCCTTTCTTCGCATCGGTGGGCCCTGTTTTGTCACGTCGCTGGTTTGGAGTGCTTTCACATCGGACTGGCATGGTGGTGTTGAAGGCCGCTGCCTCCACTGAAGGTCTCTTGTCACTAGAAATAGCTCTTTGCCGCTCGTCCTCCGCAACAAAGTGATAAGCGTTCCCTAGATTAGGAATCGGATTTGTAGCCAAAATATGGGTCCTAATGACGAAGAATTCGTTATCAAGACCCATGAGGAATTCGTACAATTTTTCTTTGTCTTTCAGTTGACTTAGGCTTTTGGTGACGTCACACTTGCATCCACTGCATGTGCAGCGAGGTAAGGGCAATGCAGCTTGCATCTCGTCCCATATGGCTCGGAGCTTGGTGTAGTATGTTGACACGGACACCCCATTCTGGTGGGTAGATGCCAGCGTTTGCTTGAGCTCGTAGGCACGAGGAGCACTCTCCTTTCCGAATCGTTCTTGAAGGTCCGCCCAAATTTCTGAAGCGGTATTAGCGTACTTTACGCTTCCTCTGATATCTCTTTCCATTGCCGTGGTGAGCCAGCCCTTCACCATAGCATCACACCGCATCCACAACATATAGTTGGCATGTGTCTTTTCGGGTTTCTCGATGGTGCCATCAACGAAGCCTACTTGTTTTTGGCAAAGAGAAAATTCATCATCTCTTGCGACCAATCTGCATAATTGCTGTCGGTGAGATTGTCGTTGACGGGCATCTGTTTCGGGTAATCGGATGCATGGATGTAGAACGGTGAGTTCGGATCCGGTGCATCATTCTTTTTGTTCGAGGACTCTACGCCGCCGGTCATGTCTGTCGGCTATTTGAGACTTTTAGGGTTTGGATGTAGTCCGCTCTGATACCATGACAAAATCGATAATCAAATAAGGGTTTTTCATTCATTCATTCATACTTGCAAATCAGAATATACGGAGGCTATATATAATAGTAAAAGAGATAAACGAGGAAACAAAAAAACCACAAAGATGGGAGATAAGAGATATGCACAATCAACCACAAAGATAGGAGATATGCACGGAAGGGAAAAAGGAAAGTAATCTAATCCTAATCGTCTAATCCCAATACCTTCTTATCTTTCTTTCTTAATTCTCTAATTTCCCCTTCTTGTTCTTCTGTGAGTTCATTTATTTCTATGAGATTATCAATACCTTGGTTGATGACCTCCCACAGATCTTGTGATTCGAAGAGAACCCTCATTTGGATACTCAAATGGTGGTAAATCTTTCCGTTTAATTTGGGAAGAGGGTGATGGTATTGTTTGATGATGATGTTGTGGCCATCATGAAATCTGGCTCTGATACCAAAATGTTGGAATCAAGAATTTCACACAAACAAATTATTGTTATTCACTGAATAATTTGAATCACATAAAAACAGAGTACGTACAAATGATTATATATAGGATCAAGAGACACATCTCTTGACCGACGGACACAGCCTTTCGAACAGATGTGACAGTTAATTAACTGTCACATAATCCCAGAAATAACTAACGTAACGGTTAACCAAAATACCGACCAACTATAATAACGACCAGATTCTAGCTTATCATTTAACAGTATGCACATCTTAAAAGACCCATTTCGTAGTGTGATTTAACATATCAACAAACTGTTGCAGGATATGTTTGGAGCCGGGACTGATACATCTCATGTAACAATCGAGTGGGCGATCTCGGAACTGATAAAGTGTCCGAGAGCAATGGAGAAACTACAAGTAAAACTGAGGGAAGCAATAAAAGGTAAAGAAAGGATTCAAGAGGAGGATATACAGGACTTGATGTATTTGAAAAATGTGATCAAAGAAACTTTGAGGTTGCACCCTCCTCTTCCTTTGCTTATCCCTAGAGAGTGCAGGGAGCCATGTGTGATCGATGGGTACGATATACCCAAAAAGACTAAGCTCCTTGTGAATGTGTTTGCGATAAATAGGGATCCTGAATACTGGAAAGATCCTGAAAGTTTCATTCCAGAAAGGTTTGAAAACAGCCCCATTAACATCATGGGATCAGAATACGAATATCTTCCATTTGGGGGAGGTAGGAGAAGGTGTCCTGGTGCATCCATGGGTTTAGCCAATATTGAGCTTCCACTTGCTAATCTTCTTTGCTACTTTAACTGGAAACTCCCGGATGGTGCGAGCCATGAGGAGCTCGATATGACCGAACTTTTTGGAGCTGCTATTCAAAGAAAGACCAGGTTGGTTTTGGTCCCGATGTTTCAAGAGATCGTGGATGGATCTCGTTAATCAGAGATGCATCTAGATTAAGTTCCACATTGTTTAAAGGGATTTTGAGTTGATGGGATCTCCTTTATTGGTTTATGTTTTTGAATTGTTGTAATGAATTCTATATATATATGAAGCTCAATAAATTTTGTAAACGGTGTTTTTGCTTTTGAAGTTGATATATAGATCCAAGTTACGCTTGGGAATGGGGCGGGATGAGGTGGAGACTCCAATCTCCATTCTTGTCCCCATCCCTACCGAGAATATGATTACATTCTCATCCACGTTGGAGATCCCTAACAAGGAATTGAGGAATATGTTTTATCAAATATGTTAAACACTACATTCGATCGATAATGGTTCATGTTTAGATCTCACATATTTTCAGAATTTGCTTTTATCGAGCATTAAATATCCATAAGTGAGAAAAAAATCACAATATTATACCTATTTGTTTGATTAAATGCTTTCAACTTTAAACGTTTTTATTTAAAAAAAAGTAAGACAACTAAAAAAATGTATATAAGAAATGTCAATACTATTTCTAAATTTAAAAGATATTAAATCTATTTGTTTATAAATAAAATATATAATTAATAATAAAAATATATAATATATTTAACATTCGGGGACGGGGTGCATGGGACGGATACCCCGTTACCCGGTCCCGTCCTCATCCCCGTTCTTTAATTTTTCTCTAGTTTTGGCGGGAATCCTCGCACCCATCGAGACGAGTATATCGGATTTCCCAATGGGTTAGGTCCCATACCCAAGCCTAATCCAAGTATTACTACAAACATGTCTCTAATTAGTTTACTTATAGAACCTCTTCTATATTCATTTGTATTTATGAGCCCTCAATGTCGTAGTTTACGTACGTAGTTGTGTTAGAAATCTAACTTTGACCGACGGGAATTACTTATTGGCCGATGATTTACGAGGATTATCCAACTATGAGAAATTTCTCCCACAAACTAAAATCAATTCTTTCAAACAGATAATAAAATATTTTTATAAAATCAATGATTTCCTTTGTGTATGTGTGTGTGTATATATATATATAGGTAGGTTCGTAGGTTTTTCTATGAGTACGCATGTGTAGGTGTACGAGATATCATGTATCGTTTGTATTTATATACACGATGGATCTATATATGTTGACTTTATATAAGCGATATCATGTATCATATATGTATGCATGTCTACGTGTGTGTGTGTATATATATATTTGTGTGTGTTATAGATATATATAAAGGTAGGTTTATACGATAATGATATATATTTAAGAAAATAACAAAATTATATAAAAAATCACATGTGATGTTACATTAACGGATAAAAAGGGGGCGTGACAAAGTCGTATGAATCACATGTGATTTTATACGTGATGTTAGTGTAAATTAAGTCAAATATATATGATTTGGTCATTTTCTTAAATAGGTATCATTCTCGTACGAACCTACCTCTACATATGTATGTGTATCATATATGTCAATATGTATACATATGTTAGTACATATATGTGTGTGTATGTGTATCTTTTTATGTGTATATGTATTGTATTATATGTATCTTTTTATGTTAGTACAATATGTATATGGGCATATTCAAGAGAGAACTAACTAGTTTGTGGTAACCCTGAGATCCAATCTTAACCAAAATCAATAAATAAATTAGAAAATTTATAATTTTGATAATTTTGAACTAAAATTTTAATGAAATGACATTTTAGGTATTTTATCTCCTCTCAACTCCCCCCGACCACCATCCTCCGGTGATACCACTATGATATCTAAAAATATTTACTCAGTTAAATAAAAGACACAGTGTGATACCCAAGCACATATAAGATGCATTTGTGTTATCATTGTGTTACATCTCCAATTGACCACACAAACGACATCAGTGTGATACCCAACCACATATAAGATGCATTTGTGATATCACTGTGTTACATCTCCGATTGACCACACAAACGACATCAATGTGATACCCAAGCACATAAAGATGCATTGTGATACCACTGTGGTATCACCGAAGGACGATGGCTAGAGGACAGTGGCAGGAGGACGGGGGACGAAGAGAGAAGAGAGGAGAGGGGAGAGAAAATACCTAAAATATCCTTGCATCAAAATTTTAATTCAAAATTACTAATATTATAAATTTCTTAATTTATCTATTGATATGTGGTTGCGATTGGACCTTACGGTCACCACAAACTAATTAGCTCTCATTTGATTAGTCCCCTATGTATGTATGTATGTATGTATGTATGTATGTATGTATGTATGTATGTATGTATGTATGTATGTATGTATGTATGTATGTATTGTATGGTTACAAATGAGTACAAAGTTACCAAGCGGTTTATATTATGTGTAAATATGTATTATATGGTTTTCTTGAGGTTAGGCCATATGTAGTGTTTAGATTATTGTGTAAATATTTTATGGTTTCCTTAAAGTTAAAATGTAGTTACCAATGATGGTTTTATTTTTATTGTGTAATATTCGTTTGGTAGGATTCTTATATGATGCAATAGTTTGTATATTATTGATGAAAACAACAATGTTAAAATGTCATAATGCAATACTTTGGTGAAGTTTTCATCAAACCAAGAATGCTAAAATGCCATAAATTGTCATCTACTTTGTTTATCTTCTGAAAACTTATGTTATTAATTAGTTATGTTGCAAATTATTAATCTTGTAGTCGTAATGTTGTCAAAAAAAAATTTAAAAAAATCATACGGTTTAAAATTCATCCTAAACACTCCTTTTTCATTCAAACCCAGAGTTTAATTTTAACCATTGCATCAATGGGTTTCAAAGTCATCAAGAACATCTTTAACTTCATTTACACTTACGGTTTGACTTTCAAATAATCAACGCATTATACGTAGGGTTTGACTAAAAAATAATGACGAGACATAAAAATGAAACCTTATGAAGATCGGGTAATATTTTAGCGATGGTGAGTATTCATATGTAAAATACGTTAACCGTCTATCGAGGTGGAAAAGCCTTTCTAAAATGACATTTCGCATCTACTTTTGTATGATACAAACATTCAAAAGAAGCATTTTGATAAAACAAATATATTCTCAGGCTACGTCCCTAACTATTTTCATGTTAGGACAGTCGGTAATCAACCAATTCGCTAATTCGGTCTAAGTCGAGAATCAAACTTTCGTCTGTATTCTGACTAAAGAAATTAAACAAACACTAGAATAATCAGTTAACCACATAACAACTTTCGTTGATTAAAAAGCAGTTGCTTAAAATCAAATATTCATTTGGTTAATCCCAACACTTTTAATCCAAGACCACCAACCCAATCAAACAAAGGCTAAAAATGAAACATAAAACATAGATCTATGAAAACAATCAAATTAATCTAAAAAACTGTAAAGATCGATTCAAGGAGTGTCATTCATCAAGAATCGTTCTAATATATGAAAGCAATTAAATGAATTTAAGAACGATACAATAAATTAAATGCAGGAAAATAAATAACAATTCAAATAAAATGTAATTAAACATTAAGGGGGCGTTTGATTCGTATAAAGAAATTCGATGGAATTGGAATTCATCAAATGAATTTGACTTTGAGGGAATGTAATGGAATTAGAATTCATCAAATGAATTTAACTTTGAGGAAATGAAATAGAATTTGATGGAGTTTGACCATGCCTTGTGATTGCGTTTGGTTGCATGGAATTGGAATGGAGTTCTTAACGGATTGAATTTTTTTTGTTTGGTTCATGGAATTCAACTTTGGAATCGGAATTAATTATCAACAAATGACCTTTTATGATTTTTGAATAATGGTATTGGACTAGTGATATCAATACCTAGTTATCTTGAATCGATTACTTGATTGCATATGTTGTCTATCGATCTCGTATAGATGGAGAAATTACGAGAGAGAGAGAGAGAGAGAGAGTGAGAGTGAGAGCGTATCAGATGGAGATCGAACCAGAGATCAATTAGATGAGATGATAGACGCAATGTTAAATGAATTTGGATTAAGGAAGGAATTTGTCGGATAGGAATTGAAATCCGAGGGTATTGCCGTGGAATGTAAAATCTGTGAGTGAAAGAATTTATTGGAATTGAATGGATTCCATCAATTTTATTACACGAACCAAACATTGTATTTGAAATTTGGTCAAAAGATTTGGCTATTTCAATTCCTTTTAATTCCATGAACCAAACACCCTTAAGTATGAACATTAAACTAAAGTAAAACATAAACAAAATAAAATAAGAAAAATACGATACAACGAGTGAAAGTCCATAAATCTTCAACTTCATCGTTGATCCTGTTGCATGTTGCGTTGCGGCTTCATCAAATCTTCACATGCTCAAACAAAACGAATTTACAAATCTAAACCTAACCTTTCTTACATATTCTAAATCAGCCCTTTCATCTTTGATGTTGTTAAAAAAATGCCCCTTCTACTTTCTTTTATTTCAAAAGTTCTCTTGATGAATTATTTTCTTCCAAATTTAATACAACTTGGTCTCATGCTTCTTGAAATTGCTCCACCACATAAACCATTAATCAAATGCTTCAAAAATGCATCATCATCCATGTTTATATTTTAACTTAAAATACCTATCAAAATCCAACAAAATCACAACAACATTAAAGTAATATCCCAACGACGATTAAACAAAAATAACTAAAAATCAAATAAAAATTATATACATATGACTAAACTAGACACAAAATGCAGTTATAAATTAACATGAACGCATGTAGGAAATGCACTTGACAAAAACACCCACAAGTTAGACCTTTCTTGTCCCAAAGAAAGATATTAGAATCTATTACGAAATGGATGAAAAGAAAATGAACAAATACCTCTCAAGATGTCAAAACGAGTTCTTCCACAATCTTGTAAGGCATTAAGATCATATATCGTGCAACTACAAGTAAATACCACGTGTTGGATTAAATAAAATAACAAGGAACATTTGATTATCAACGTCTAACTAACACATGCCAATCAAGCATATCTCAGAAAAAAAAGAGGGATTATACTATTCCAGTTAAATAAATAAACAAATAAATAACAAAAAAATATTTATTTTTTAAAGACAAAAAGGAAAAAAAAAGA